TGTGTATATATGTATGTATGTATATATATATATATATATATATAATATATATATATATATATATATATATATATATATATATATATATATATATATATATATATATATATATATAAATATATGTACATGAAAATGGGAGCAGCAAATTAGCCACTTAAAAACAAATGTTTCTTGCATCCCCATGCTCTATCTCATAGCAAGAAATGGTGTGGCTAGTTTGCCTGTCAATAGCTGTGAATTAAGGTTATAAATATAAAACTCATTATATGAATATTTGTATGTCCATATGTTTGTTGGTATATATATTTTAACATATACTCTTTGTAAGTCTGTAAGCGATGATGTAAAAACTGCTGTTTCTAGCATAACGTATGAACCATGCAAGATTCTTCAGCCCAGGCAATGAGAAACAGTAAAGGAAGACAGGAAATATTTTTGCACAAGCAACTTGTAAACCAGGTTAATATTGAATTGGATAACTTTTTGTACAAGATTCACTAAATGTCTTCTCTGTATAAAAACTTCTTACGAGTGAATTTGTGTACTTTCCAAGCGAGCCATTCATGTATTCATTTTTTTGTTACATTGAATGCAGTTGTTAGACTGCAAACAAATAGTAACATTCTAGTGGAAAATAAAACAACTACTTTGAAAAGTACTATTTCATTTTCTGTAAGTATATTCAATATATTGTCAGGGGAGAACATTATTACAATATATTTTTTTCAGCAGCAAAGAAAAACTGTCTATATGAAATCCTTGAAAAAATAACCTAATATATTTCTTATATGAATGAAAACTGACATTTTCACAATACAAGATATGTATCTGACCAGTTTTTATTGCATTTTTATCAGAAATACATACCACATACATATCAGATATGAGATGAAGAACCACCTGGCATATTTGAGTTAAAATTCATTTGATGTAATGAAAAATTAAAATAACTGAAGCTTCACACATTGAGACGGAGGAGCATGTAAACACTGCATTTCAAATTATCCAAGCTCGTTGCAACAAGTATACAAGTAATGACTGACAGGTAACAGATATCAGTTTTTTTAAGCTCATGTCTGATACATGTATGCTTCATAATCTTGCTGATGTATGCATTTTCTGATGAGGATATAATTGAAACCAGTCAAACACATATCTTGCACTGTAAAGACAGTTATTCTCATTCAAACGTTTCTCTACATACAATGAATACTCTACAAACTAACAGGTACTATTCATAATTCTAAAGGCCCTATCATCCTAGCAGTTTTCCATTAATTTCTGCGCTTCCATATGACCTTTGTATATGCAAATGGCTTAAACCTATCAGATTGACAAATTGTTTCAATTCATACATATCCACTTCCTTGTAAAAAGTCAAATTCAAGCTAAACAGTAACAAATTAAAGAAAAAGTGCTAGTGTGAGTAGGTTTTGAGAATAAGGGTTGACCGAATATTAGTACATTAATCAAAGTAATAACCAATAATAAAACAACTACCACCAAGTAGCATGCACTAAATAGGAAATATTTATGCTTATTTGTCGTTTCTCTTTTAATAAATGAAAGTTTAAATCATTCATACCAACCCATAGTTAATGTATTAATATTTTTAACTTAATATATAATATCACAACATAAAACAATCCCATGTCTAGGATATTACTACAGTACCTTCTGAATCAATGCATCACAAAGCATGTTCAGTTACATTCTCTATATTTGATCAAATAACATCATAAGATCATGATAAAAGTAAAGGAAAATGTTTGGCTGAATTTTAATTATATTTTGTCACAATCAATCTAAGCTATAACATCCTAAATATATGCAAAACATTATCCTTTCTTTGTTACAATAATTATGCTACATAATCTTGCGCAACAAGTTTTGCAATAGTGTTCAACTGAATATGTGATGTTCCCTCATAAATTGTGCCAATTTTGCAGTCTCGATAAAACTTCTCAACTGGGTAATCTTTGGTAAAACCAACACCACCCATAAGCTCCACACACTTGGATGTAACACGAGTGGCCACCTCTGTATGGAGAAAAAGAAATAAAGATCTTTTACAAGAAAAGGAAAGAAGCATGAAATTACAGTAACAGTAATCATAATAATAATTTTAAATAAAAAAATAGATAAAAGATTAACTAACAACCTTATTTTAATACTATAATTGGCTCAATATGGATATAGAGGCAGCACCACCCCTTTCAAAAGCATCAGTGATAGAGAACATATTGCACAGCATCATTTAACATCTGGCCCACAGCTAATATCTTGCAATAATATTATAAAACAATAAGATGCTTTAATACAAAGCTTTTAATTCTACATTTACTTTCGTAATACAAATATTCCTCCATGCAATCATGAATTGTGCCTGTGTGACTTTATGGGAAGGTGAGAGGTTATATTCATAAAATGTGACAGAATAAAATGAAGGATAGATGAATTTTTTTTTTTGTCTTATGCATAATTTACTGTTATAACTATGAAATCAGTTTGAGAATAAAGTAAAGGTTCTCAAAAAATCATTATGATTACCATGGTCACTGTAAAACTACAGCCAAAACAATGATAAAGCCAAAGTAATTCTCTGAATGAAAGAATTTGCAATCATAAGGACTTTACCCACATCCTATGGTTTGTTCATATCACTGATCACATTATTTCTACATAAATAGAAAATCCATCTAAAATTTAAACTTTCCAATTACTTATGCTTGTTTTAACATAATTAATGGGTCATAAGAAAAGTAAACTGGAAAAGAAACAAATACTAATACTCATATCATGAGTTAAATTTTAATAATGACTTCCAAATGTGAAGCAGCCCTGCCAAACAGCCTGCTAACCTTGCTTCCAAGGAAATAGCAATTCAAGCTAATTTTCAAGCTTTCTGATCACTTAATCTTGTATTAATGTACCCGATGATATATGACAAATGTGAATGCAAATCAATGAAAGCTGTAAACAAGATGAAACATTAAAACTGAAATTGTCAAATATTATCATCAAATTATCAACAGTGAAACAGCTGTGTGATTAAACTCTGGGAGTTGATAGGTCCCCCTATATATCCAGATTGAATGGGCTACAAGTCTTCTTTATCTAGATCTCATTCTCACTAATATAACATAATAATATATCATGATCCAATAACTTGGGTAATATCAAATCTACGTAAAAAGATAATCAGCAAGAAACAACAAAATATATACCTGAACTGTAAAGCTTTGCCATTCCAGCTTGTTTAATGAAAGGTTGTTTTGCTTCCCTCAGTCGAGCTGCATTATACACAAGTAGTCTTGCACATTCAATTTCTGTAGCCAGGTATGCTACTGCATGTTGCACAGCCTGTTAAAAATTGTTAATTAATTTTTTCTTGATTCTTTTCATTAATCAATCATATATTCAATATTGATAAATTCACTTCCAATCTTAGATTTGATAGTTGTAGTATGATATATGACAAATACCTGGAAATCAAACAGAGCTTTCCCAAACTGTTTACGCTGAAGCAGGTATGGAATGGTGGCATCGAGGCATCCCTGAGACAAACCAACCATTTGGGCACCAATACCTATACGTCCCTCATTTAACATCCCAATGGCATATTTATAACCATGTCCAAATTCTCCAAGAATATTTTCTTCAGGTACCTTGGGAGAAAATAATTATTCACATCACAAGTGAATTCATGAGAATATTCACACACAGAAATTACATTCCATAAATAATATCTATGAAGGGAGCTTTTAACCCATTCCATTTTGTAAAATTATTGGCAAAGGTTGGTGAAGCCAGGGTATATTAGTCATGAGTATGTGCAGCTCCATGTCTAGATAATTGTCTGGCTTGCTGCTAGGCTTGCATAATGTCATTAGGTAATGTCCAGTATCTGTTTTTTTTTCTCTAAAATGTGGCAACATGACACTTAGCATGAATGGGTTAAGGCTGTAACAAATTGAGATATACATACATTTTTTAGAAATCTTTAATAAACACTCACCACAACATTATCAAAATGTACTGCACATGTATTAGAGGCCCTGAGACCTAACTTATCCTCTTTCTTGCCAATTGATAAGCCAGGGGTTCCAGCATCAATGATAAAGCAGGTGATACCTTTGTAGCCCTTTAAGAGATCAAAGAAAAAATAAAACATGAGTTATGATTAACAACCTGCATTCTTAATAACAAAACTGCCTTTACTCCATGTTTTCTGAAACCAATATTGATGCTGTTATATGTTTTAAAGATATTATTATTATAATGTTTCTGACATTGCTAACAGCAATACAAAGTACCAGAAAATATTTCTGAAAATCAAGGCAAAGGGTAAACAGGTGAGATAGGTAGTACACATAACTGGCTCATTAGTGACTTATTACTTGTGGAGCAGTAGAAGTGTAAAGACAATTAAACAATCTCACCGTAGGCATGTCATGTACATACATCCCAAACCCCGAGGCAGCAGGTAATCAAACACAAAAAAATAATAGCTTGAAGTGTTTTCTGGTAGGGGTGAATGCATTTATTCCGTTATATGGCAAATAGTTATCTAAGTACCATATTTCTGCATTCAAGTATTAACTTACAAAATGAGATTGTTTAAATCTAGATGCATTTTTTCCCCTTAATATCATACTCATTTGTAATTATATTCATACAGGTATTTATAATTCATGAAAAAAGAAAGAAAAAAAAAGGATATATTTCTATATTCCATATAATCACTAAATGTTTTGAAGGGGATCACTATAAATCTCATACATGGTAGACAAAACTGAACGTCTGATCACTTACTGCAGAAGGATTGGCATTTGCCATCACAAGGAATACACCAGCCTGTGGTGCTGAAGATATCCACATTTTGGAACCATTAATGACATAGTTGCTCCCATCTTTCACTGCCACAGTCTTTAATGCAAAGGCATCAGACCCTGATTCTGCCTCAGAGAGACAGAAGCTTCCTGTCTGCTTAATGACAT